ATTTTGAGGAGAATAGAAATTTTGGAATAGTGATTGATGTGAGAATGTGTGGTGGAAAAGTGATGAAAAGTTTTTGATTTGTGTGTAATATTATTTTATTTGGAGAATGTGTGGTTGAAATGAAGAATGAAAATGAGAATGAAAATGAAAATGAGAAATTAATGTGTGTCAAACGGGGGCTAATTTACAATTGTCATGTGGTCAAGCTTTTAACCATTACATTTTTAGTACAGGGTTCGAATCTATCTATTGCAATAGTATAATAAGACTTTTCTTTCAGCCAATTTGATAGCTAAAAAAAATTTAAAATATGAAGAGGTTTTATGGAATCGAACATTGTACCTAACACATAGAATGCTGGTGCCTAGCCATGTGAGCTATGCAACCACACGATAACATTTGATACAACATATTTATAAATATTAACAGGAATTATCTAAGTTTTATTTTTTTCCCTGCGGATCCAGCACGGGCGACCACCCTGACTCGCCGGGTGCTGGATCTGCCCCTGGACACGACGGAAGTATGTGGGTTCAAGCTCTCCCACGGTGGACAATACGTAAGAAAATGGTCGGACACAAGGTCTCATTCGTTACAAAAAATTACGAACAAAAAATTGCGTGTTTTTTGTAACGACTTGGGCCTCTTGCTCAAGTCGTTATGTCATACGTACTATTCGCTTTGGGAGAGTTTAAGACCATCTTACGTCTCATGGATTTCTATCACGTTCCTAGGATTTGAACGCCTTAAATGTTAATTTCCAAAACTTGATGTGTTATCAAAATTTTTATTTATTTATTATATTTTTTAAAGAGAAAAATAAATTCTCTATTTTAAGAAAATAAATTTTTCGTTGTAACTAAAAGGGGAGTCAATAATTTCACTTAACAAATTTAAAGTAGTCACTTAATATTTAAATTTAAATAACATCATTCAAATGTCAATTTGAATGAAATACAAATAAAACATGAATGTCAAAACTCCTAACTAATGTGCAAATACTAAACTTGAAAATACTAATGAAAATTTAGTCATGAATGTGCTTAAAATTTATTTTTTACTTGGCAATCTCTAAGCATCCACTCGTCCAATCTTCTACGGGTCCATGACGACCTGTTCTAATTTGAAATTTTTGTTAGAGAATATTTTAAAAATAAAACACTCAACAACATAATATAAATATAAACCAAACATTTCATACTTGACATTCTTAGATTTAGAGCAACTGATCGTGATAACGGATAGCTCAAGGAATTTATTTAGAATTCTCATGTCCCGAAGGAATTAACATAATTGGACTTTACGATCTATCCCGAAGGATTTAACATAAAATCGATCCGGAGGTCTTCATAAAATAAATATCATGGAGAAGAAATAAGAATTTAAACGTGGATAATAAGTGGATGAATGAAAGTGGTATGGTGATTGAGAGAAATAATCATTCGTTCCCCTGTATCGCTTAACTTACACACCCACTTGCAAATATTAAATAATAAAATGATAAATTAGTTGTTTTCTTTAACACATCAAATCCCCATCTATTTCCATCTATCAATATAAAAGAATTATAAAATGATATAATATTAAATGGAAAAAATATGGTTTTATATCAACCACAATAACTTTGGCATGTTTCGTTGAAAATAACTTTTTCTTAAGCCCAAATTACAATTTACGTAATTTAACGCGATCTATAAAATGAAACTCATATTCATATATTTTTATCAACTTTCATAGTACTTACGAAAAACAATTTAAAATCACGATTTTGAAAATAAATCTTATTTTTTTAGAGAAATAAGTGGAATGTATATCGATTTAACTTATAAATTTGTGTGGTTGACAAGCCTAGACATGGACCACTTAATTTGTAATGACCAAAATTAAATTAACAAACCTTAAGCCCTACGTATAAAGTAAATAGATCCCGGGGTGCTACAATCTTCCCCTTCAAATAATTTCGTCCTTGAAATTACTTCATTTGGTAGAAATTGATAAAAATATATAAATATGGGTCTCATTTTATAGATCTCATTAAATTACGTAAATTGAGCTCAAGAAAATGTTATTTTGAACGAGATATGCCAAGTTATTGTGATTGATGTAAAACATTATTTTTTTTATTTAATATTATATCATTTTTATAGTTCTTTTACATTGATGGAGGTAAATAGATTGGAGTTTGACGTGTTAAAGAAAGCAATTAAATTATCCTTTTGTTATTTAATATTTACAAGTGTGTTTGTAAGTTATGTGATATAGGGGAACATGTGATTATTTCCCTCGACCACTATACAACTTTCATTCTTCCACTTCTACATTTATCTTATATATACACTCAAACATGCAATCATTTGGAAGCACCTAAATTATCTATAATTGTCCTGTTTGAGCCACATCAATTTTTTCATTCTCATTTTTCTACTCATTCTCAACTGCACTTTCTTCAATAAAATAATAGTTTCCATCACATTAATAACCTTTCCTTCTTTTTCAACCACACATTCTCCATCACATCAACAATAAAAATGCATTCTTTTTCCAAAAATGTGCACCAAACAGGGACTATATATATATTTTTTCTGTTCACCAAAGGGATCAAAATTAAAACAATCAAATTTCTTAGCACTTTCATATTTTCATTTAAGGTAAGATACATAAGGTGCAAATGTTATATTTTTATTTCTCCATGATATTTATATTATGATTACATTTAATGCCTTAAAACCTCCGGGTTGATTTTATGTTAAATCTTTCGAGATAGATCGTCAGGTTAAATTATGTTAAATCATTCTGGATGTGGGAATTCTAAAGAAATTCCTTGAGCTATTCGTTTTCGCGATCAGTTGCTCTAAATTTAAGAATGTTGGGTATGAAACGTTTGATTTATATTTATATTATGTTGAATACGGATTTTGCATGTATCTAACTGAGTGTTTTATTTAAAATTCTCACCCTTAAATTTTTTTTAGATTAGAATGGATCTTTGTTGAACGCGTGGAAGATTAGACAAGTAGATGGATATGGGTTGCCAAGTAAAAATAAATTTTAAGCACGTTCATGACTAGATTTTCATTTAGTATTTTCAAGTTTAGTATTTGCACGTTACTTAGGGGTTTTGACATTCATGTTTTATTTGCGTTTCGTTTAAATGGACATTTGGATGATGTTATTTAAATTTAAATATTATTTGACTAATTTTTTAAATTTGTTGAGTGAAATTATTGACTCCCCTCTTAGGTTAAAATGAAAACTTTATTTTCTCAAAAACGAGAATTTATACGATCATGTTATTTTTCTTTTAAAAAAATATAA